TTATAACTTCGTCTTGTACCAGTCCACAGGTAGAGTGAATTTTGATGTTTAGTACCATTAAAATGAATTTAAAAACGTAAAATTTTTGTGAGACATTTTTAGAATGTGTGATGAAGGAGCTTAACGATTTAAATCCTTTCAAATATTTATAGATTTGCTCTTTAAGAAGATACATTGCTATAACACTTTTTACCCCTATTGTGTACGACCCATGCATATATAAGATTCTTTTTTATATTTAGTAATTAATTAATAATATCATAAATAATCCTCACTGAGTCTCGACTCTAGAAAATGTTTATCATTTGGGTAAGTCTGTGTCCATTTATAATCTAGATATAAAAACTAAAATAATTGATAGCATGATATATTATTTTAAGGTTAGTTTGAGACTTACTTTTACAAAAAATATTCTTTTAAACGACACGATACTTGGGATGAAGGATTTTTTCATTCTTTGACGACATGAAAGGGAAACAAAAAAACATAATCAATTACGTATGTCTACTTTATTTCTAAAACTGGTTATTCTAAAAAATGTGAGCCTTAATATTTTTTCAACTATTTAACTATATTATACTTTTATATTCTGTATACTAATAGTTTAATCTATTTTCAAAAAAATACTGACGCTTGAAATTACGAATTACATCGCCATTACACTGATATAAACGAAATTAATATTTAAAATCTATCTTATATTATATTAAAATAAACTATTTTAATATTTATTAAAAAAAAATTAAAAAATCTGAATTCTATTATTCTATATGCGATACGACTTATTGTTTAAATCTGATATGTCTCATCATAATTATATGTCGTTAAAATAATAATTATTTTTTATTGTGACAATAGATAATATCAAACTTACATTACTTAATATGTAAATAAAACTATCTAAAAAATTAAAATAATTAGCACTAAAAAATTTACTATTTATGTTTCCGAAAAAAAAAAAATTTTTTTTTTTCAAAACATTAAAATAATATTTATTTCAATGTGTGTATGAGTATTTAAAGTATGTATTCCAAAATATTCCATTTAGTCTAAAAAAAAATTGCTTAACTCATTCTAAAAACAAGATAAAATTGAAATTTTCTAAATTATCGACTACGCACTATCATTATTTAACGTCAGTTAAATATAATTGTAATAATTACATACATTTTCATTCAAAATCTATAAGAACTAGACACAAATATTTACATAACTCTAAGAAAAGGAAAAAAACGTCTTATATCTTATTACATTTGACTGTAGAATTTCTTTGTATTAAATTAGTAAAAAAAAAAAAATGCATTTATAAATTTTTCCATTAAAAAAATTATGAAAAAAATTGTCAGATTTTTTATTAAAAAAAACAAAATGTTCTGTTATCGTAACTACTTATATCTAACTTTAATTAAACTTAAATATAGTGTACACGAGTAATCATATATATTTATTGTGTAGTGAAGTAGACATGTTTGGGCTTAGTATCAGCGACCGGCTTCTCGTGCGTATGTCCTCCTTTCCGGACAACAATATTTAAATTGTCATCTGTCGTCAAAGATGCTTTACAATCATCTGATTTACTCGCAACACACTTCCATACTGTTCCCTTCTTTGATTTAGTACGCCTCGTGAATAAATATTTTCTATACAACAGAGTGTATTTACCCTTTTTATTTCCTTTTATTAACACTGGACCTAAAATCATTTATAATTAAGTAACAAGCTATGTTAAGTTTATTAAAATTATGAAAAAAAAATTTAATAAACATAAAAAATATTTTTTAAAAACAATAAAATTATATACATTTATAGCATATGAATACTTTTGATTGATTACATTTACCACATAATGGTTTTTTACACGAGTCACAAATTTTACTACTTTTATTTTTGCAATGCGTTCTATAGCAACTACGCCTCTTTTTTGTATCACCTGCCAATCTTCCTGAGGCGACAGAATCTTGCAAAGACATCTCAGAGGTAGGTTCCTCTGAAATATTATATATTTAATATATAGCTGTTAGATATTAGATTTATTTTTAAAAGTTAAATTAAGAAAACTATTTTTTGTAATATATTTTATTAACTAAACATAATATATACATAAAAGTCGTAGTCACTTTGTATAATATGGCATAGAAGAAAACAACTATTTAATGTAATTTACTTTACCTTTGCCTTACTAAAAAGTATAACTTAAAAAATTATAAGGACAAAATAGTTAAGTAATGTCAAAAGATATACATATTCTTTGGTACAAGTGAAGCTTTGAAGCGTCATTAGCCTAATGGTCAAAGGTACAGATTACTGATCACGAGGTCGGGGGTTCGAATCCCGCTATTCGACTATTGTCGTAAACCATTGCCTAGCTCAAGCATAGAGCTTAGTTGAAATGGTACAAGAAATATTAGCTAAAGAACCAAAATCTGCTATTTAACAAAACAAAAAAAATCCTTAACATTTTGTTTTAATTAATTGCTAGCTTAAACTTGTTTCATGAGATCCTAATAACAATCATATATTATAGTTTAGAAACTTGAAAGCCTAATTTTAGGCATAAAAAATTTGCCTTTCACATTTTTTCACAGGTTCCTTGTTAGTAATTCTTACGTAATTTCCTTTACCATTCATATAGAAAACTGGTACGGGATGATTATGTTCTTCATCAATGATAATTAACTCACCACTGTTAGTGAGTACCACTTGAGCCCTACAATGTTTCGATCTCCTCGACGAACATGTCCAACTTGTCTTAGACTTGCTAACACAGTTCTTAGCATAAGTATATTGTCTGTACACCAAAAGCTTTTGCCCTCTTTTCGAATGAATAAAATGTATTTCTGTAAGTATAAATACAAAAAAAGATAATCTTATTTTTGACATATAGTAAATATAATTAAAAAACAAATCATAAATGTATTAAAATAAATTACAAAACGGTACATTTTTTGGCAAAATTACTTAATTTTATCAATAAAAAATATAAGCATTTAAATCTTTACATATAAGACACAATTTCATCAAAATAGTGACAAACTATTGTCATTTTTTTCTTTTGTGAATTCCGCTTAAGCTCTCGATAAAACCATCAAAAATGCTGTACAATTATGCAAAAACATTAAACATTTTTTTTTGCTTTTATATAATATACTCAATATCAGCAGGTAAGGTTACATCTGGAGGTGGATGATTATGATTTATATTTACATTCGTTACAAAAGGTTTCTCCGATTCATTTAATGTAAGATTTGCTTTACATCCCTTCTTATGATGACTGGAACAAGTCCAGTATGCACCACATTTTTTCTGGTTACGCCATGAATATGTATATCCTTGATACAGAAGCAATCCATGCAAAGATTTCCTAACCCTGGAAGGAATGATGAGGGCTTCTGAAAATATTGATTAATAATTAATACAATTATTTTATTGAATTGATTGAAACAAAAAATTGTTCAAAAAAAGTCTTCTCACTGACTTAATGTCTATAAAATGGAACATATACACACTTAAAATAAGTGTATGTTGCATTTTATACATGAATTGTTGTACCAAAATAGTTTAAATGCAATTCTTACCTGTAAAAATGACAAACTATGATGTCAAAATACCATTGAATGTGTACATTTAAATCTTTTGCCTCTAAGTTACCATATGGTTTTGTTCACAATGTTTTAACATAAAGATAAAGCACCAAGGTTTTTAGGTTCAAAAATACAATATGAACAAAAGTATTAGTTTTTTTTTTTAAAAATTCATATCATATTGTAAGAAAAAAAATTGACGTTTCAAGTTTCTATTCACAAAAAAAAATTAAGTAAAAACTGACACTAACTTTTCTTAACAAAAATTGCTGAACTGCAATATAATTATGTTGCATTCATTCAAGAAATTACATATAATTAAATATGTTGTTTATAAATAACAGCTACTTACCAATTGCCGCAAGTGAAAACTTACCTGTAAGAAACATCCAAAAAAAACATTAAGCATAGGGGTAATAAAATGTCTTGGCAGCTCATGTTATATCAGTGGCTGCATAGAACACCATATTTGGTGTGTTGGGGTATATAAGGAAGTGCGATGGGCCTATTATGCAGCTTCCAGCTAACCTTATTTTATTTGTATAGTAGTAAAAAAACTCTTTGCGATCTACAGTAGTGGTCAGTCTATATAATTCCTCTTGTTGTATCATTAGGTTTATTTGAAAACATGAAAGTATTTTTAACATGAATGTCAGCAAGTAACTACAGGCAGTAAGTAATAATACATAAGCATACCTTGATGATTCCAAACAATGCATTCCCAATGTTTTCTCGCATAATTTATCTCACTAAAATTATAACAACAACTAACTTTTAGCACAAATTAAGTTACAAACTCTATCTACCACTTTAAACTGCGTATATTTTCCTAATGTTGTGAACAACGTACGAATAAATAAACACTGATACACTACGAAACACAAGGTTTGTGTTAACATTTTGTAAAGTGTTTTAACACTAAATAACTTTAAAATATAAAACTTTTCATTTGTTTTAATATTCACGAGGACAGAAAAACAATAATAATCCCAGAAAATAAACAAAACTTAGAAGTTAGGTTATACTTCTGTAATTGAAGTTTCAAACGTCAATCTTGTAGTTCAGGTTCAAGCTTCAACTTTTTTAACACAAAGAGAACGACAATTCACGTTTGGAAGAAAATTTTCAATACTAATAATGTAGGAAAAATCTTCCTAATAAATTACTTAATTTTGGTTTTTGTCGTTATACTGTATTCATTAGTATGACATCAATTTAGATATATTTTACGTTAACGGTTAGCATGTGGTCCGATAAAAATCGACCGAACACGGTGTTATATAAGTTTAGAGCTGCTCTATTCTTGCGAAATAACATGTTTTGCGCTGTTTTTCTTTGTTCAGTACAATTCGATTAAAATATAAACCAATATAAACCTTAAAAATTTGTTTAAATCGAAAACATCACAGAAACCGATATTCTATGAACCTCCCTAGTTGTTGTACAATTGTCAAAAACATAATTTCCGTATTTTGTTTATTTTTTTTAAATTGGTTGTATTTAATTTAACAATGTGTGGTTTTACCAAAACGCGTAAAAATAACTTTCACGAGTATTGTGTTTTGTGCAATGATTTTTAACTTAACTTTAAAAGGTTATGCTTCTTAAAAAATAACCTATGTGTTTTGTGCGACTATTTAGGTATAAGAGTGTTGTTGTTGGTTTATAGTGTTATTGTGCGAGTGATATAAGTGATATAGTTATCGTGTCTTGAATTCAAAGTATTTTAATGTCCTTGGTACTTTTATGAAGTTGCTGATCGACGCGGGAAGGTAAGTGCTAGTTGTAATCATTGTTATTTTTCCCTAAGTACACATCGAAAATTACTGCTTTGTATAATATATATTTAATATTGGTACTGTTTACATCCATATATTACTTTATAAGTTATGGTTTTAATGCGTTTAATTACTCATAGTATATTATGTTGATGTTGCTATTTATTCCTTTAAGTTGTTTATTGAACTTATGTATTCAAATATGATCTAAAAGAACCTTATGTGTAACAACAATAGTTTTCTAAATAATGAATACGTTTCTGCTATAATTTATATGTGTATTTATTGTGAAGTTTCTTATGTTTACCTGCACCATTATTATTATGCTTAAAATTTCCTAGGTATAAAATTCATCGGCAGCGTATGTTTTTTCAACACATCTGAAGATGCTATGATTTTTTATATAAGTGGAAATGCAAATTCAGTTTTACTGATATCAATTCATATGTAGGATTTGTGTATGGCTCATTTAAATGGATATTTTTAATAAATCTTTTAATTTATATTTGTCTTTTATTTTAATTTCTAATAATTTCTAGATTATGTTACTACCCTTCTTTTGCAGCAATATTCATATTTGGTAACTTTGAGCATCATATTATTTTTTAACGGCTAAAAGTTGCTCAACTGTCAACTCAATGGATATATAAAGATAGTAAAAATGTACAGAATAACTTACATTTTAGTGGAATCAATTTCCAACTACCTACAGATCAATTGAAATGGTCCAAATGAAATAAATTTATATGCAATAGTGTTTTTAAAGGTTGGTGGCAATGATAAATAGTAGTAGTTAATGGTAGATCCAGCCTTATTTGATAGTTTACATAGCTTATAATATAAAAAAATAATTGTGAGTGTTCATTGCCTTAAACGCATGTACAAAAACATAGTTATCTTACTCATTCTCCTTGAAAAGTTAAGCTATAACACAAATCTGATAACATGCTTTGTAGAGGTGTTTATGTGAGGACTAAAAAATAAAAATGGTGTTTTTTTTTGTTTTGGATTATGCTTGTATCGTTTGTGTCTTGAAAATTGAAATTAATATTTATTGTGGATATTGTTATTACAGATTTTTATGACTACAAAATGATACAAAGTGGCAGGAATAAAAAGAATCCACTTTTAATGCACAATGGTCATACATATTATCAACATATGGGCTCAAGGATGTTTTATTGTTCCAAACGAAAGACTGGTTGTTTGGCGAGAATTAAACTCGGCAAAGATGGTGGAATTACAATGGCTTTTTGTAATCACACACATTTGGCACCAAAATGTGTTGAATTATATCCAGGGCATTATGTTAAAATATAATTAAAATTAAGGATTATTTAGTCTCTAGTCAAAAAATGTCAACTTTGTTACCTATTGGTAATTTTTTTTTCTGAAAATTAATCAAACTAAGTATGTTTTTGTTATTGTTTGTTAATAATAAAGGGAAAATACATTTATATAATTTTATGTAATTAAATGAAACCATGTATATTTGCTGAATTAATATTTAAAATAAATGTTCAGGATATTTTTTTTCTATGTTATAAGGCGATATGAGTGGCTATGTGAATTCGCTTAAATAGTGAAGCAACTACTGCCTATAGACATCCACAATTGCAGAAGCGTTGCCTACATTTAATCGACAAAGGGACGCACAAAATGAGGATATTTCCCCTTCTTATAAGTCCCTCCGCCGTCAAATCCACTTCTGCTCCACATCATTCATTTGAGACAGGGTGGGAATAAAAAGGGGCTAAAATTAAGACTGCGGCTTATCATCACACGGAACGCGCGCATCCACTTCACGGTTGTCTTATGTTTGGTCGTGGTAATTCACCAATCGTACCGGCCCATAGAACCAGGGATTTTTTTTAAACCCACAGCTTGCCTCGTGTCGGCTACTCGCTCACGATCTGATTGACTCTCGATGAATTCCATCGACTTGATCACACACGATCTGCGCCTAGTGGTCGACCGATCTATAAGGCCAGAGTAACGCGAGATTGGATGTTTTGGCCTGATTACTACGTCATCGCGAGAAGGAAACACAGGTCTAGTATTTAGACAATGAATATGTGTCGTAATAGCTACCACTAACACATATTTACTATTAATAAACTCATTTTTTTTTCAGAAACAATTCGCTACAAATTCATTCCATCAACAAAGGTGAAAAGGAAGCATTGGATATTGTGCGAGAAGTATACATACGCGCAACACATGTACGGCTTACTTTATTATTGCACGAGAAAGAACTCTGGATGTAAAGCACGTATTAAGTTGAACGAGTACGGAACTGTTACGGCTTATGATCCCTGTCATCTTCATGACCCACCTTTGTATTATGTTACATCCGAAGGTCACTATGTAAACTTGTAAAACAAATTCTACGTATGCCACCGTTCGATCATTTTGAGTGAATTGGGAAAGTTTGGATCTATAGATGGATGGATGGGAGTTTGTTAGAAAGTATCTCCAGAAAGGTGCTTGGATCTCGTTAAAATTTGGAAAATATGTAGAACATAGTCTGGAAGAACACAGTCTAGTAACTAAGCAATTTATTTCCGCGCGAACAAAAACCGGGACAGCTAGTATATAAGATAATCATACTTCTTACTTATATTTTTTATGTGTTTATTTTCAAGACCCTATGCAGCCAATATTGCAATGCTCATTATAAATGTTTCCTTTTTTTCATGTGCGATGTTCTGTTTAATTATGTTTTTCTAATTACTCAGTGATATGTTTTTTTAATGTGTTATAATGGTTAAAAGGATAAAATATTTTTTTATTTTATTTTTATTTTTTATGTTTCGATATTCTTTTAATATAGAAGTAAAATTTGAATATATTTTTATTACAACAATTTTAAAGTTATTTTATTATCCCTTTTGTCCCCTACGTTTTAACAAAAACTTCCTTGTGGAATTTCTCGTTGCTTATAATATTAAAAAATATATGGGTCGTTATTTTTTCAGGTAAGATTAAGTATCGACTTATAAAAACATCCAGTTGCAGAAACAAACGTATACTTATGTGCAACAATTATACATTCGCGCAACATAAAAATAATACTACGCATTTTTATTATTACTGTTCAAAGAATAGTTCTGGTTGCAAAGCGCGTTTGAAAATAGCTGCAAATGGTAGAATCGTATACTCAAATACGGAACACACTCATGAACCACCAAAATATATGCGTAATAAGTTAGGAGAATATATTAAATTGTAAAATGATTATTTATTTCTCCTTTGTGCAATAGCAAACTGGTTATCGGTAGGACATCTCGAATGTTTGCGACAAACTCTAACATATCATTATCGTCAATTATGTCAAAAATAGTACGAGATTTTTGATTTACTTTCAACCACATATCAGCCCAGAATTCAATACTTTTGTGTTGTTTTAATTGATGGCACTTGTCGTAAATAATTCTACAGGATGTTAGGAAACGTTTAATTTATTTGTTTTTTTTTGATAATTACGTAATTTATTTTAAATATTAAGTTAAAAAATGGGTGTTCTCAGACCTCTTAAATTATTTTGGTATGTACTACATACCTACATACCTTTGTATAGAATAGCTATTTTAATCGTAAACAGTTGGTTTTCCGGTAAAACCTAAGATGTATAATTCGGTTGTTTCCCGTTGAGCTGATTCATCGGTGTGCTGATTAATATTGGATCGATTTAATACATACGAGGCCTGAGACCCAATACACATATCCCATCCGGCCAAAGGGCCGAAGCACAATGAGAAATGTATCTAATTTGATGTTGTAAATGTATTTAATATTGCCGATTGCGTCCATAGAATCAAAATCCATTGGCCGATTAATCGGTCGTTAGGCCCAACGGAAAACAACTTGTAAATATTTCTCCTAACCTATCCTAGAAAAATTGGTACTAGGTGTGGAAAAAGTCTAAAAATTAGTCAGTCGGACCTACGTTAATGTTAATGTTAGGTTTTATCGATAAATATTAACCAAAGATTGAGCTTTAATAGTATCAGATAGGTCATCACAAAATATTAATGTTCGAAAAAAAATTGTCGCAATATAATTCAAGCGCCATATTTTTTAAATTACTTGCAAAATAAAGTATGAAATTGTATAAATAAAAAAAAAATCTTGTATTAGATTAATAAAAAAATTGTATTATGTATTTTTTTTTTCATTTTTTAATCGTTCTTTTAAGATCCATTATTTAAATATATTGAATTATTCAAACTTTCGTGAGACATTATACTAAACTGATATATAAACACGGCTAAACACTCACGTATATACGTCCGGTAGCTCAGTTAGCGACGGGCCGCGTCCGCGAAATAATACCAGTACCACTCATCCTGATGAAGGGCCCCCGATGGGCTCGAAACTAGTCGGTGCCGCCAACGGACGTATATACGTGAGTGTTGAGCCGTGTTTATATATCAGTTTAAATATATTGATTTCTTGTCATAGAATTAGTCTACATTATTGTTTTTGCTTGTTTTGCAGGAAAAAATATGTATCGCAAATTTTACGAAAAAAACTTAAAAAATACAATCACTTGTAAGATTTGTTTGACAAAAATGGCTCGAAGTAATATGGTTCGACATTTTAAATTAAAACATCAATTTGATTTTGTAAAAACTGAAACTATAAAGAGAAAAAAATCTTGCTGTATGTATATCTTTTAATATTTATAATTTTTTTTTGTAATACATCTTAATATTTCTAGCATTATTTTTTTATTAATTTTGTTATGCAGGGACGAGAAATAAACCTAGCCCTTGGACAAAATATAGCATTGAAGTGGGCAAAAACAAATTCAAATGTGTAATGTGCTCCTATATTCTTAATATGCCCAAAGCTCATGGAAACCTGAAGCGTCATATTAAATTTAAGCATCCAAGAATTTATGAAAAGGAAACAAAGGAAAACTTGAAAGCTCTTTTAAAACAATTAGGTGTAAATTCAGAGATGGAAGCATTGAAAATAGCTAAAGATAATGAAGAACTAATAGAACAAGCAGGAAATCTTGAAAAACATATTGATGAAGACATTGTTGCTGTTAATACAACAGCAATTGTAACAAGTGATTCCATCAAAGAAATGAATCCTATGAACAAAAGTGATTCTGAGAAAAAACATTTAATATCTGGCATAAATGAAAATCCAATCGTACAAGAAATTACTTATCGAGATAATAAAATAGAAAAGTTTGGCAATTTCGAGTATGTAAACGAAGATGATGAAAAGTTCGAAGAGAAAATCAAATGGTTAGCTGATAGAGCCGTACCTGGGAGAAGTAAGTGAAATATACGTTACAAGCTGTCGCCTGCTACTTCGCCTGCGCGGAATTAAAAACAAACTTAATAAGTAGCTTATGTGTTCTTCCAGACTATGTTCCACATCTATGCCAAATTTCAGCGAAGTCCGTGCAGCCGTTCTGGAGATACCTTCAAACAAACAACCGTCCATCCATCCATCTAAACATTCGCATTTATAATATTAGTAAGTTTACTAAATTAAACGAAAATATTTAGAAAATCACATTGGCACATGGCCGGATTCAAACCTGGCAGTGTAGAGTACGGTCTGGTCTAGTCAAGTGCTTAACAACTGTGCCATCAACGCTCTTGATTTTTATATACTTTTAAATTTCAGGGTATTTCAAAACTCGTATATGGAATTTCTTTAACGAAATCAAAAAGAATCACCTTTACGAATGCAAGATTTGTCGTAGGAAGCTTGCAGGATGGACTGGCAGCTCCTCGAATCTTAAGCGTCATTTAGCCTTAAAACATGCAAAAGCGTTTGAAATTATATCCAATAGTCCAAATTATACAAAAATATCTCAAGGTACTATTGACAAGCTAGAGAAATGCATTATTGCATCGAAAGGTGAGTGTACTTTTTTATTTTTTCAAAGAAAAAAAATCATCTTATTAATATAACAATTAAATAGAAAGATACGATTCAAAACTTGAACCCATTACATGCTATATTGTAGTTCTGGCACTACACAATAATTATTAACACCAATAAAGTCTTTTTAGAAATGGGTTTTTGTAGTAAAAGATGGCAAACAAACTTTTAACAAGCAAGCGGTCACTTAATTCAGCAAAACAGCGAAGTGTCACTTTCCTCTTCTAATTTGTTCCCTCTTCTGCCAAATCCTCTTCAACTTCCCGTCCTTCTCTTATAAGAAAAGGCAGGGAAGGGAAATAGGACTTACATTAGGCCGGCACGCAACTCATCTGACGAAATGCGGAATTGCGTTCATTTGACTCCTGTCTTGTGTAGTCGTGGTGTTACACCGGTAGAGCCGGCCCATTCGTGTAAAATATGTTATTGCGGGCTTTACTAATGTTGTTTGTACCTATTCCTTTTTTTACTCACAATTTTATATCCTAAAATCCAATTACAATATTAATAATAGTATCTTATTTTAGTCAAGACCTTGGATACATCATACTTTGTGAATCGGGGAGACAATAATTACAAATGTAAGGTTTGCGATGAAATGATATATTCGGATGTGCCAAACAGCATGATGTTGTTTAAACATATCAACGAAAAGCACACTGAAGAGATTGTCGGACATATTGAAAAAGCAGATAGCGATGACCCTGAAATCAGAGTTGTATTTCTCAAAAAGAAAGACTTAAGTGTATCTTAAGATGTTTTAAAATATAACTTAATAAGTCCCATGCGATTACATTTTTCCATAAAAATGTTAATTTGTAGTTTTAGTCGATGGCTCTGGAAAGGTTAAACGCCTAATACTCCATAATGAAGGGAGACGTTTTCAGTCCGCTATCGCCTTGCACAATCTTGGGCTCTGTTTGGTGTTTGGGCCACTTTCCTTTAGCTTTTAAGCTATATTATTACCAAATTTATTGTGTATATAAGTTGATGTATTCTTAACTTGTAGGTTAAAATAATTAAATATACAGAATTGTTAGTGTCGAGGTTTTATTCATATTTATAAATATTAATACAAGAATAATACGTAATATAAAAATATATACGTCAGTAGAAGGAATAATGTTTTGTGCTTTGCTTATCACTATTTTAAATATTCAAACCATCGCTACAAATACGCATATAAACGCTTTTCACCCTTTTGAAAGAAAAAAGATGAGATCCATATTGTAACACGCTTTGTATTTTTTTCTTAAAATAATTTAAACATTAAATGTGTGATGTAATTAATAGTAATCTGTACTACGGTTTACTTGTTAATGTACATAATATAATTATGCTACATAATATACTTTTAGGTCTTTAGAAATGGAATTTTAAGTTGTATATATTATATGATTTATAAACTGATATAAAAAAGGGCTAAACAGTCACGTGTATTCGTCCGGTGGCGGGACCGACTACTTTCGAGCCCATCGGGGCCCTTCATCAGGGTAAGTGGGACTGGTATTATTTCGCGAACGCGGCCCTTCGCTTACGTCGGACACGCCGCGTCCTGGGACTGGACTCGAAACTAGTCGGTACCGCCACCGGACGAATATACGTGAGTGTTTAGCCGTTTTTATATCAGTTTATTATAATGTCTCACGAAAGTTTGAATAATTTTTATGAATTATGATGGAGAATTAAATTTAACTTATTGTAATAATGTATTTATTGGATATTATATGAATTTAATGATTGTCATTGTAATTCATTTATTTTTTATTTTTTCATTGTTAAGGATATTAAAACCTTGACGTAGGATAAGTGTTTATTCAAATGATGTTCGCTTGAAATAAAATCTATAAACGTGAGTAATCATTGCCGAGACACGTGTACAATAACATTTACTATCCCTTTTACTCTCTTTGAAAAAACTGCGATAGAAATATGTTGTTACGACGTTGCAGTTTGTTAAAATTACAATAATGGTAATCCCTTTTTTTCTCCATTAGTAATAAATGTTCATATTTCAGGTACAAATACATACACTTTTATACCAACAAGAAAAGGCAGACGTTTGCTCATGATAGATGGATACACATTCTCCCAGAATGCAAAATCTTTAAACTACTACTGTTCGAAAAAGGACGCTGGTTGCAAAGCGAGAATAAAGCTGGACATACACGGTAGAGTCGTGCAAGCTCTGAACGTCCATCCTCATGAGCGACCGAAGTACATTATAAGTCCTACAGGACGTTACTTTAAAATGTAGTTTAAACGAATTTGATTGCTTGAATGTTATAACCTCAAAAATTAAAAAAGAGAAAAGAAAAACTCAGCCCCCTGTATAATATTTTTGTAATAAGATGTATTTGTCAATTCCATTGAAGTCAGAGGAATAGAAAGATCGATTAAAAAAGAATCCCATATTGCTGTTTTCACTTTCCAAAGAATTTTCATAATTTAAATACCAAAAATAAATTTCTTGGATTTGTTATCCTTCTGCAGCAAACTATTATAAAGTCCACTGTACGGTATTTATTAATTTCATTAACATTTTTCTTATTTTTCTCCAGTTTTTTCAAGGGATTATACATTCATCCCCACACATCGCGGTAACAAATTACTTATGGTAAACGGATACACGTATTCGCGGAATAATCGATCACAAAACATTTACTACTGCTCTAAAAGACGATTTAAATGTAAAAGCAGCGTCCGATTGGATGAAACACGATGTATTGCTGAATTAAGGGGACATCATTCACATTTACCTCCACAATATATAATAACAGAAAAGGGAGAATACAAGAAATTTTAATCGTAATGTTTTTGAACATTCAAACAATTTAAATTGGCACATTATAAATGGATAGGGTATAAACTGTGGTAGTTTGTGCCTAATTGATTATCACCATTTTGGCGCTGACAGTTGCGGTTGGTAGCAGTGTTGAGGATTAGAATTAATAATGAAAGATAGAAGCTATCAGGGGGAGATGCCCGTTTTAGTGGTAAGGAAGCAGCAGCTGTCCTTTCCAAACAATAACTATTATAATTGGCATATTTGGATTAAAAGCGTCTTACGTAATGTGTAAATGTGAAGTCTTGTACACTTATAAATATAATGTTAATAGCATTTTTTTTCGCATAGGCGCCTGTACCTGACACAATCAAGTTTTATGATTTACACTATGCCAGTACAGGATAGTAAGTACTCAAAATCAACGCTGGTGTCAGTTGTATACCAGCGTTGATATAATGTTAACAGTAACTGTTGCTAGTGAGCTAAAACCGTATGCCAGCACTACTGTCCTACTGTGTTGGCATAATGTGAATCAGACATATTGCGATGGTGTCCATTACACCTCTGCTGTAAATGTCACTCTTAAGGGCAATTACGATTTCGGATGTTGTAAATACTTCTTTTTATTACAGTTTTTTTCCTTTCATATTTTATCTATAGATATTATAATTAAATTAAAGTTTAATACTTGCGTTTTTTTTTCCTATTTGCCAACATAATACCTAACCATTCTGCTTTTTGAAGGTAATCAAAACTGGACTAAAAACACATTAAAAGCATTGAATTGAAATGTTTTAATTACAATGTATTTTCAATTCAAGTGGGTAGGCCTCCCGCAAGATGGACCGATGACCTGGTCAAGGTTGCGGGAGCGTCCTGCATGTAGCACAAGACCGGTCATCGTTGCGATCTTTGTGGGAGGCCTATGCCCAGCAATGGGCGAGTGTGGCGGAACAAGACATAAACTTGATTTTCTTTTGTTTCAGTTATGACAAGGAATTACACCTTCATCTCCACGTACAGTGGTAGCACTCTACTAATGGCAAACGGTTACACGTATTCAAAAAATAATCGTGCGAGCAGAGTTTATTATTGTTCAAAAAGATTGAGTAACTGTAAATCTAGCGTGAAATTAAATGATGAAGGATATATTATGGAAATAAAAGAAAATCATAATCATCCACGCCCTGAATATAAGGTTGTAAAAGGAGGATTTTACCTTAAGATTCATTCATAATTATTAAGATTTTCGATATAGATGCAAATATTCCTTGACATAAGTTTCTATGCCTGTGGCGTTTTGCTGCAAATTTTACCGAGTTAGTAAAGTCTGGTATGACTGTGGTTTGAATTGTTCAAACCGCAAATTAAACGAACGTGAAACAAAAGCGAAACGAACCTTTTTAGATCTCGTGAAGGATGTTATAAGGTAGGCCAGGCCACAATTGATGTCTATCAATTCTAGCTTCATGTGAGCTGTTTAAAAATATCGAATTAATCGAAAGTGAATTAATCGATTCAAATTTCCAACGTATTAATCGAATTCAGTTGTTATGAAACATCTAAGTTTTTTGTTCGATTTTGTTGTAACGTGTTAAAAAAAAAATTCACTGACGCAATATTGTAACGACGTTCGATTGACATTGTAAGCGAAATTTAAGAAAAGATAACCAATTGTACAGTTCTAAAAAAAAATTATTCCCGCCGAAACAACGTTACGTTGTTGGATTTTAATGGAGTATCAAATGTGATATATTACAATAGCCCAGTTTCAGCCAACCGTTAACAGACTGCGCAATACAGAGTAATATTTATTTTCTCTTTTTCGCTTCGCTTTTGTATGATTAGTCAAGTCAAGAATAATATTGTAGTGTTGAAAATTTTTGACAACAAATTCCATTACCACTATATTCTTATGTCGTACTTTACTTTCAATTCTAGTTAACATAAGTACGGATAGAAAAAAAACTTATATTAATTAAAAGATAGAATATACTAATTGTCGCTTTAATATTAATGTCGCTGAAAATGTATTCTAGGATTGCTGAAATGTTATGGAAATTACTACTAAACTTGGGTTTTTCCCACTGGTTTTTCCTCCGTTGGACCGATCGATCGGACTTACGGGATAAAACTATATTTAGATCTCAAAATAATATTTATGTGTAATTTATATATAAAATTGTAAGTTCAATAGCAACTTTTAAGTTTCACAAAACCTGACAATCCTTTATTAATCTCATTGGGCTGTATGTAAATAATTTGACGCCAAATTTTAAAACATGACCGAACCTGGATAATCGCCAACCCTAGCTATAAAAATAACGCATTCCCTTGGAATTTTGCTTTTCCAGCGGCGCTCGACAAAGTGCATTTGTTCCGAATGAACTTTAAAAATGTATAGAACTGACAATTACTATCCATAAGTCACGTGATTGATTCCATACATTTGTAAAGTTCGCTATGGAATTGTTTCGAATCGAATGCACTTTGTCTGGCCCCGCAGGTCGACTCTATTTCTTTTAGTCACTCATTATATATTATAAGGTTCTTTTTACATCACATAACATGGTTATGTATAAGAAATGTTTGTTGGTTAATTCACTGTTCGCCTTGTTTTATTATTTCCAATAAAGATTCCAAAAAATGTCGTGACTTATAAATTAGATGTTAATCTTCCACCACATGTTATTTTTTAATTATATTTATTTTTTTATTTATATGTATTTTTGTATTAAAAATTGAAAAAATCGGTAAAATGGTAATTTTACAGGATTATACTTATTCTACGCGATGTTTCATCATGGACTACTTGGTATATATTTTTGACATACTTTTTAAACATATTTGTCTAGTCGAAAAAAAAATTAAAAGCTGAATTAAAAGTAAGCGCTAAGGACATCAACCGCCATAATATAGAGTTAATTTATTAGAGCTTTTGGCATATTTAATAAGATTTAGTCACAGAAATCAATGTTTCAAATTGACAAAAATCTTATAATTTGTTATGCTTTTTAAGTTTAAGATGTGAGATATATTTTCAGAGGTTAACCAATATACATTGATACCGACGCGCCACGGCAAACATCTATTGATGATGGATAATTACACATTTTCTCAAATGAAGAATACAAATAATTATTATTGTTCAAAGAAGAACTATGGTTGTAGAGCTCGTGTGAAGCTAGCTGACGATGGATCGATACGCCAGGCATGCACTGGGCACACACATCTTCCGACCAAATATAACATGGCTTCGTCTTCGTCAACTTAGAGTTATAAAATAATTTGCAACAATAATCTTTATTGCCTGATTCCTTGTCCAAACACAACACTAAGAATTGACGCTATACTATGTAGAAATATCTTTTGACTTTCGCAATCTTTTTCTGCTTTTTATTTTTTATGCGCAAATTTTAGAATTATTTTTATTAACTCCCTCTTGTTCATAATTGTG